CAAAGTAAATTTGGATGATTTCTTGCTTAAGTAACTCGATCTGTTTCTCAATTTCGGGGAACACTCCTCGATTAACAATAGAATAGTGATCTTTATCCGTTTTTGATATAAGGGAAAGATAGTGAATGTCCTCCTCGTATTTGTGGAAGGTATCTTCAACGCAAGATAAGAAAGATGGAAGAATCACCTTCTTCGCTACATCGTCAGATTGCAAGTACAAATCATTGCTTTGGCTCCACTTTCTTGCATGCATAAGAAATGTTCTGAGAAATTTCATGCGTTTGATGGCATCACGAACACGAGGAGCAATGTAAGTAGCATACCGGCTTCGGACGATGTTCAGGAGCAGCAACTCTAGATCAAGTAAGACCCGATCGATGCTGCAAGTGGAGACCATCTCCTATGCAGGGATTTTCGTCTCAAATTTTAAGAGAGAAGCAAATCTCACTAATTGCAGAGCCAGCAAGTATTTCTTTCCTGAAAATTACTTCTTTGCTTTTCTTCTTCTGAAGAGTATTGAGATAATCAATTATTCAACCAGGTGGAATTGGCATCAAGGTGGAACCCAGACAATGATAATACTACAACTAGGAGTTGGGCACCTGAGGATTTAAAAGATACCACAATTTTGTCATTTTAGCAAAAGTTAGTGTGAAAATAAATCGTGGGTCATTAGCAATATTATTTGCTCATGTCTAACTACAAAAGGAAGTTGATAAAATTAGTTGACTCTGTTATCAACATTTTAATGGGGAAATTTGATATGGCAATCTCTCATGGTTACAGAGAAATGCATTCTTGAAACATTTTCTGTTGTGGTCATTTCGATAACTAATGTTGTTTTTGGTTTGTATTACAACTATGAATATGTATTAGTTTCCCTAGTCATTACAAGCTCATTAATTGGAGTTGATCAAAATTTTGTACGCTTTCAAACAGAGGAAGAAACAAAAGATCAGCAAGGTAAAAGAGAAAATGTTGGAATTATCATAAAGACATCTTGTGTTCAGCAGAGCAAAGAAGTTTTCATTGACAAGTTTATTATTTTTGGACTATTTCATACTCATATTGGGGTTGAGAAGGCGCACTCTGGTATTTTCCATTAGCAAAGGGTTCCTGCACCTATACTGCAAAAGCTTAAAAATTTAACCAATTGCTCAGTTCAGACTTGTTTTATCATAATTAGGACTGCCACTCAAGTCATGTGAGTCGGGCTTTCATAAGTTCAATTTTAACTCATTTAATTTGTAACACTTTTGAATTTCGGGTCGTGACTTTCGGATTAATAAATGTGATGATCATACTCAACTCATAAAATATTCGGATTTTGAGTCTTATTGGGGCTTAGTTCATGCTCAGTTATTGCTCCTTAATTTTCTTAATATAATTACTATAACTATTAAGTTATAAAACTAATTTAATATTCACAGGACTATAACATTAAAACTAAACATAAACAAGTAATAAATCTTAAAAAGTACATAAACCAAAAATTTTTCAACACATTTATATCTAATTCGTTCAAAATATATGAAAAATACTAATAAAACACGCGGTCATAAGTCAATACATTTTCAAAAGTTGGAACTTCTTCATACTTTTGTGACTTGAATCAAAACATACTTGATGATTTATGTTTCTAGACCAAAAAGAAATCAACCAAAAATTTTGCTCAACCAATAAGAAAAGTTAAAGTTTCAGTTATGTAATATCAATATTAGCTTTCAAGAAAGTTAGTAGAGAAATCTTCAAATGTATTTTTGTGTTTTGTAATTTGTATATATTTGGTATTAGTAATAATATATTTGGATATATAATTATATTATATGCATATCAATATATATATAGCTAATTTAAGGGCCGAGCTTAAGTTGGATTTGAGTCTAATGAGGCCCAAACTCGATTCATATTTAATTCGGGTATAATTTTTAGATTCAAACTCAGATCGGTTCAGTAAAAGGTCGGATTCATCCATCTTTTTTTGGACCTAACAAGTCGACCTCGGGCTAGCATGGCCCCATTGACAGTCCTAATAGTAATAAATATAAACACTAAGATAATAAATATAAAGAGTAAAATGATAACGTTCAAAATTAATGAGTGCATTGATGTTACCAATATACACTGGTTAAAGAAAATGATTGGATTAAAGAAGTAAAAAATTCTACTAATTAGTAGCAGTACTTCTTTTCAAGAGTTAAGACTTAAATGTAGGCTAATTATGTATACTAATTTATATACTTGTATCATAGGCATATTTTTCACTTACCTTTTCATCTCATATATATTATATAAAAAAGTGATACAGAATTTTTATAAAAAAATATTATCCAAAATAATCTCCTATCCAGACACAAGTATATGCCCATTTCAGTGTTACTTGGGCCATTGGAAATTAATTGAAAGTCTTCTCCTTAGTCTTTCTTCAACATTGAGGGCGTCCATTCAGAAAATGAGAGAGAAGGGGACTGGTCGTTCTTCGGGTCAAGCACGGCCAGAGAACCCTCCCTTTCCTTGATTTCTAACACAGGGTTCATGGGTAAGGCATACCCATATTTTTAAATGTTTGATATCAATTCTTATTATTCACATAGAAAACTTCCATGAGTTGACTGAGAATTAGGTCTTGTTCGATAATTCAATTCAACACTTAAATTTGATGGATTCAGATCTTAATATGTTCAAACGCATTTGATAACAAAAAATTAACATTTGAATTAATTACGTAGCACTGAATTTTCTTGATAAAATTTACTCTAAAAAATAAATGATAACCTATTCATTTATCATTAACACTTAATGTGACATGTATTCAAATATGTCAAGTTTAATATTTAATAATTAAATAATTTAATAGATTCAAATTTCAAATTTCACTCTTATCAAAATCACCCTACTCCCACTACTCTCAAAAGGCAGAACCGAAATGCATGCTAATAGAAGATCAATTCAACTCTTAACATTAGTCTTTCTTCCACATTCGGGGGGTCCATGTGCAGCATTCGATGGATTGATGGAGACCGGATAGTGTTCTGGTCAAAAACGGCTACTGGACGATCCCTTTTCTTGTTCTTTAATTCAAGCTTTATCCTTTAACGGCCAATGTTTTAGTTGGGAGAAGATTTCATTCACAATATTCCCTTTTTTATGTGTGGGTAACTCTATTCAGATTTTTGGATATGAACAATTTTGATCTAATTGATATACATCGCAAGAACATTTTCATATTCTCTTGTGGTTAAATTTAATAATATTATACACAGCTAATGAATTGATAAGGATTTTACGGAATTATATTTATCTTTTAGGTAGAACTACAAACGAATCTCGCAAACCAACTTTTTAACAGCGAAACTGCCTCAATATTGGCTGGCTGAGCTCAAGCAATTTGACCAAAGTATCAGATCAAGTAGTTTGATTAAAAAAATACTCTTAAACCTCATGGTATGCAGGCATACTTCTTAACATTATTATTGATCATCTATTTTAAATTCCTTCAAAAAAAATATTATAATTAATATCCACTTACATATGAGCTCGATCAAATCCGATCTATACAAGTGGACGTCATCTCCATCTCTTATAATGCAAGGAACTTCCTCAATTTGACTCTCAAATTTTAGTGTAGCATGAGGAGAAATATTAGCAAGTATTTCTCTTGTGGGATATTCAATTATTAGACAAACAAACGGAGCAAGAAACAAAAGATTAACAAGTAACAACGTAGTAATGGTGATAGTAGTGTAGGAATTACGAGAAAGTTACATCTCGGTTTGGTAAAAGCAAAGAATTTTTTTTATTCATTACTTTATGGTTTTTGAATGAATTATTTCACTCTCATTTTGTAGCCAAGAAGCACCAGTGTCGGCATTGTCCACTAATAAAGGGACCCTACACATAGACCCTTTTTTTTTTATTAAAAAATTTTCGCTTTCCATAAGGCAAGACTTTCTTGGAATTTTCGGGAGAAAAAGAGCATATAAGAGGCCAAAAAAAAAGAAAGGAAAAAATTAAAGTCGAACAGGAATTTTTATTATCACGAAAATAGTTCCTTTCATTTTCAAGTGAAAGGGAAAAAGAGAATGATAGTTTATAATTAGTCATCTATGTTAGCTTTATTTCATTTTTTTTTCCTTTTTGTTCAAAATTCAAGCATTGTTGTTCAATATGCATGCTCCAAAGATCAATCTTATAATCCAAAAATCAATAGCTAGTTTTTATTTTCAAAAGAAAATAGTAAAATGACTTCAATAGAGATTTTAGTTTGATGGAATCTTTGACTTGAGTTTATATAATTACTAACAAGGGCCTTAAGCCACGAACAAAGACTAAAGAGGAGTCAGCATCAGTCCGAGATTACGCTTCACGGGTCGGGTGTTCTTTCCGCCTAACAGATTTGTAACTCGAACCAGTTCTATTGGTTCGACAAAAAATTAAATCAGAACTGTGTCTACGGTTATAGAGTACTCGAATGACCGGATATTTGGCAAAGCGGTTCACGGACCCGGAGGTACTAAGACTCAGTACCAAAGTTAAAAAAGAAATCATATTTTCATAATTGAGAATTAGAAAATAAGTAAACAACTAAAAGACTTTATTTAAATATAATTCATTATTTGTTAAGAAAGATCACATAACCATCAATACTTGCATATTCATAGTAAAAGCAAGTTTGTAAATATCACTTATTCTCAGCAACAAAAGCTAAATATATTACTAGATAATTAGCAAGTTAAACAAGTTAAGACTTTTATATTGTTGAGATAGTCAAGTATATCATCTCAAATATAAATATTTGATGAAAGATGATTATATATTCCTCTATTAATTTTAGTTTTAACGGACAAAATTATAAGTATATCCTTACATATGAATTGGGTCCGATCTGCTACTATCCGAATTACACATTAAAACCAATTCGAGTATCCTATATTTACGGTTCATATCGAATCAATGTTTACAATTTTTTGAATTTCTCTGATCAAAATAAACAACATGTGTTACATAAACTTGCAAATCTTTATTAATTAATGACAATCAAACAAAAATTTATTCCTATCATACCATACAACCCAACAGACAACGGGAAAAAGAGGAAATCAAAGAACATTAAAGTGGTTAACAGTTGAGAATTTTTTACAACCAAAATTTAGCCAACTAATGAAATCTAATTGAGCCACCCAAAGAAGGGGAATTGATAGGAAAAGATGTAGCTACCCAAAGACATGGGGCTTTAGGACGCTCCCAATTACGTGTTTAGATTCCTTGCCCGCAAAAAACGCAGGAGCTCCCTGGAGGCCATCAATCCTTTCAATTTTTACCTCAATCTTCCACAAAAACATCAAAGAAAGCCAGACCATACAGATGACTAATTACGATCTCGAAGAAAAACTGCTACGTACCGTAGCACTCCCTGATGACATATCATCAAGAAAAAATAGAGCAATAATTAGTTGTTTGTTCATCAATTTCATTAACAAAAAACAAAAAAAAAGAGCATTTAATTAGTTGTTTGTTCATCAATTTCATTAACAAAAGCCAAAAAAAAGAGCATTTAATTAGTTGTTTGTTCATCACTTTCAATGTGCTCGTGCACACATTATAGGCAACTGAAGTACAAAAAAGCTACCAGAATGTAAATATAAATTAAACTCCTTTGAATGAAAAAAGCATGATTATTTCTACAGGCCAATTAATGGTAATGACAAAAAAAAAAATTACCTAATATTGCACCAGCTGATGCCCTTCAATATTTTCCATAAATGATCTTCGGATTCTCATTTCCATTATATTTCTGTGCTTCTTCAATTTCCCGTACTAAAGATTTGACACCATCTCCGCAAAAACTCACCTTAATTGTTTCAAGAGTAGATATACGCCCAAAACAAGCAGGCACCATTTTCAAGCTAAAAATTTTGAGGAGTTTTAATTGCTGAAGGCACGGGAAGTAATCATCATTCATCACTATCAGGGTCTGTCTCTATCCACTCAACAATCTCTAGAGATTGCAAAGTCAAGACCCTGAGTTTAGGGAATCCTCCTTCCACCAGCTCCCATTTTTTGCCGTCCATTGACCGCTGTCTTAATTTGAGGAGTTCAAGATTGGGTAGTTGTTCAATCAATGACATTTTTCTACAGGGAAGACTCAGAGCTTCAAGACTCAACTCTTTCAAATTCATGGGAAAAGAAAGCTAAACATGTTCCCGTGAACCTAAGAAGCTGTAGCCACCTAAGGTGAGTGACTCTAGGCACTCCAAAATTGAGTTCTCCAAACGCATTGTACCCGAAACGGAGCATGGATTTTTCCCCAGTTTCACTCTCAAATTTTAAGGGAGAAACAGATCTCGCCGACTGGAGAGCACGCAAGTATTTCTTTCCTGAAATTTCTTTTTTCCAGTGGGAAGGTGAAGAAGAGTAATGAGATAATAAGTTATTCAACAGACAAACGGAGCAAGACCAAGAAAGAACAGATGAATCAAATTTAACGAGAGAGCGGTCAAATAAGCTGGAAATGATGTTGGTTTGAATAAAGTAAAAGGAATTTTATTGACTAACAGCAAAATATCTGAATAACCTTTAAGCGGCCGTGCATATTGATAAAATGGTGCACGGTGTACAAATCTCATTGATTGTTTCCACCGTGTCTTGACAAGAAAAGAGCCATCGATCCTTTCAATTTTCACCTCAATCTTCCACAAAAGCACCAAAGAAAGCCAGACCACCCAAATGACCTTCACACTCCCTGATGAAATATCATCAAGAAAAAATAGAGCAATAATTAGTTGTTTGTTCATCAATTTCATTGTGCTCGTGCACGCACTACAGGCAACTGAAGTAGTACAAAAAAGCTACCAAAATGTCAATAAAAATTAAACTCCCTTAAATGAAAAAAAGCATGATTATTTCTACAAGCCAATTAATGGTAACGACAAAAAAAATTACCAGATATTGCACCAGCTCAATCTATGATGATGACCTTCAGATTCTCATTTCCATTATATTCCTGTGCTTCTTCAATTTCCCTCACTAAAGATTTGACACCCTCTCCGCAAGAACTCACATTAATTGTTTCAAGAGTTGATATACGCTGTAGACAAGCAGGCATCATTTCCAAATTAGAAATGCTTTGGAGTTTTAATTGCTGAAGGCACGGGAAGTAATCATCACTGTCAGGGTCTGTCTCTATCCACTCAACAATCTTTACATATTCCAAAGTCAAGACCCTGAGTTTAGGGAATCCTCCTTCCATCAGCTCCCATTTTTGGCCGTCCATTGAACTGGTCTCTTAATCTGAGGACTTCAAGATTGGGTAGTTGTTCAATCAATGACATTTTTCTACAGGGAAGACCCAGATTGAAAGGCTCAACTCTTTCAAATTCATGGGAAAAGAAAGCTCAACATGTTCCCGTGAACCTGAGAAATACTTGCCCCCTAAGGTGAGTGACTCTAGGCATTCTAATCGACTCATGTTGCAGCATACTCTATTTCGTCCCCCACAATTGAAAATTTGAAGTTGGTGAACGTTGGGAATCCTTCTCAATATGTTCTCTCCCTCTTGATCAAGATAAAGACACAGATTTGAGAGTGTGTCTAAATCGGGTAAAGTGGAGAGGTTTTCAACAACGTTGTCGCTGGAAGAGAGAAGAATAATGCAGTTACGCTGTACATGTACATGCCTCAACTTCTTCATGTTCCAGATGCTATCTGGCAATGAAACCGTCGTGCAAGAATTTAGACGGAAGGTTTCCAAATGTGAGAGCTTGGCTATAGATGGTGGAATGAATTCCATGGGCTGAGCTGTACGAAGGGCTAAGTACCTCAAACAAAGAAGTGATTCGACTTCAGCTGGAAGCTCCTTCAACATTAGGTTAATGTCCTCTAAATTCAAAACTTTAAGACGTTTGTAGATGCAAAAAGGAGGAGATATTAAGCATCCCAAACTTATCTCCTCGAGTAGCATTGAAGAATAGCAGAGTATCTAAATCTGGACAAAATAGTTTTGACTTTATAAAATCTTCTTCACTGCAGCAAATGGACAACCGATGTAGGTTGGGAGGCTCATTAAAGATAGAAAGCTCATCATATCCACGCAGGATCTGAAGAAAATTTTTTTCTTTCGCCACAGTCTTACAGAACTCTAATATCAAATCGTGAATGTAACAAGTTTTGCCTCCACCAATGGATCTGTTTTCACTTACCATAACTAAGTTTCGATGAATTAGGTCCATCAGATATTCTTCTGCAATATCCTCTGATCTCTTTCCTTCAATTATTTCCACGAACCCTTCTGCAATCCAGAGACACATCAACTTCTTGGCACCAATTTTTTCATCCTCTCGAAATGCAGCAAAATACAGCAAGCATGCCTTCAAGTGATATGGTAAATGCTCATAACTGAGCTCCATCGACTTTTTGCATTGTTCTGCATCAGACACCGTGGTTGAACTTAAACTTTCAGCAAATCCTTCCCAAACACAAATATCATGCTCTATAGTTGCTAGGACTCCAGCTGCAACAACAATTGAAAGTGGCAATCCTTTGCACTTTTTGGCGATCTCCATTCCCAATCCATGAATGCTTGAGGACAATCTTCTTTTCCAAAAACCTTCTTCTGCAGTAATTCCCAACTTTCTTTCTCACTGAGTGGGCGAAGATTGTGAGGTTTCCCCCCATATTCAACCTGTGAAGCCACATTAGAAGATCGACTTGTGAAGATGATTCTACTTCCTTTCTTGTCATCCGGGAATGAAATTCCCAGCTCATTCCATACTTCAATGTCCCAGACATCATCAAAAACAACAAGATACCGATTCCCCTTCAGCTTTTGGTAGAGCTTTTGAAGCAACGCATGTTCATCCAGATTTTGAAACTCATCATCCATCCTCGAATGTTTGCCATCAGAGTGTAAAATTTGAAGTAACACATTTTTCATGTTATAGGCTTGAGAAACTATACACCAAAGACGAATGTGGAAGTTATAGATTACTGAACTATCATTGTAAACTTTTTTGCTAAAGTTGTCTTACCAAGCCCAGCCATTCCCACAATGGGAACAATTTCCACCTGTTTTGATCCGCTTACAAGTCGTTCAATTACTTTTTCTGCCTCATCATCAAGACCAACCATGACTTCATGGGCTATTGGCATTTTACCTTTTGATAGCATGTGGGTGGAAGTCTTGCTAACTTCTGGTGCTCTTAAGCTATGAAAGGAAGGAAGACTTTCAATAACGCTTGAGCCACTGATCTGATCCTTAAAATGCTTGAGATGGGTGTTGGTATTAGCCAGCATATCACAACAGTCAAGGACCTCTGTGGATTCTAGAAGCTAACTTCTCCTTCCTTCACTCTGTTTAGAGAAGGCGAGCAAATTATAATGCCTGCCTCACAAAAAGAGCACCAATTTTTTCGTTTTGCTCATTCATCTTCTCCTGCTGCTCCCTTAAAATGCTTCTCAAAAACCTCAGTCCTGCATAGAGTATTGGCATTTCATCTTTCATAGAATCCATAAAGCTAGAGCTGCAGCATAACAGCTCCCAGAGACGACTTATCAGAGAATCATTGAAGTTGTTCAATATCTGCTTATCCATCATTCTATTATGCAATGATTTTGAGGATCTTGTAGCTTTAAGAACTTCCATATAAATCTCATAGACTTGAAAATCAATAGGTGTGATTTTCTGTTGTTGCTCATATATCATGGAGCAGAACTGAGGATTGCAGAACTCATCATCCCAACAAGAACACATGTAAGAGAGCGTGCTGCGTTCAAAGTCACCACTTCAAAGTGAGCCAACAGCAAGGCAGGAATATCTACAGTTCCTCGCAATTTGGCAAAGGGAATGAAGCTTTTCAAGAATGTTAGCTTTGCTTCAAGGGCTTGGACTTGAGCACCAACTTGGGGATCCATTTCAACAATACACAAATCGCTAGTTGTTAAATCCGCTAGATTTTGTAGAATGAGGTCTATAAATTCCATTAGTTCATCAACTGGCATGCAAGAATTTGATTCCAATGATCTGCTGCTTGCCAAAGCAAAATAAACTTGGATGATTGCTTGCTTAAATGATTTGATCTGTTTCAAAAATTTAAAAAACACTTCATCGCCAACATCACGTATGCCAAGTGCATCAGATTCCAACATAAGGCAAAGAGAGTGAATGTCCTCCTCATATTTGTGAACGGTATCTTCAATGCAAGATAAAAAAGATGGAAGACTCACCAAGTCCAGATCATTGCAGTGTCTCCACTTTCTTGCACACATAACAAATGTTCTGAGAAATGTTATGTTCAGGTACGCAGCTTCAATTTTGAGAAATGTTACACCCACGTCCGTATATCCAATTTTGCCTGTTCGTAACATGACATTGAGGTCGTCCATAAGCAACTTTAGATCAAGGAAGACATGATCGACGCTGCAAGTGGAGGCCACGTCCATCTGTTGTGCAGGGATTTTTCCTTAGTTTCACTCTCAAATTTGGAGGGAGAAAAGATCTCGCCGACTGCAGAGCAAGCAGCCGAAATTTTTTTTCTGGTGGACAGTGAAGAAGAGAAATGAGATAATAAATATTATTCAACAGACAACGGAGCAAGATCGAGAAAGAACAGATCAATCAAAGTTAACGAGAGGGAGCGGTCAAATAATCTGGAAATGATCTTGGTTTGAATAAAGTAAAGAAATTTTATTGACTACAACTGCATAGTTTTTTGGAGTTTTTTTTTTTTTTTTTGAAATACTCATTTCGTTGTTGAGAAGTGGACATCGCACGTTAACAAAGGTACTGACTCAGACTGTTTTACAATTTCGCGCATTTTGGTATAATCATCGCGTGGTAAAATGTACCGACTCCCATTCCCTTTGTACAATTTTTCCCATTGTACATTTATATTGACTCAAATTGAAAATAACTAAATCAATAAGGGAAAAACCTTCCGAAATCTAAAGTGGAATACGTGCAAGTGGTGGGTCGGGTTTCATAGAATTATTGGGAATTGTTGGGAATTATTGCTGCACGTCCCTGTCCCTGTTTTTGCAATAATTCCATAGTTTAATATGTTAAACTTTATCTTTTGTCTTTTAGAGAGCTGTTATCTTATTTAGTGTGGGTATATTAGGAAGAACAAAAAAAATAAACCATCAAAATATAAATGATCCAGAGACTTTTATTGGGAGGAGTATAGAGATATAAATACAAATATAGCTTTAACTGGTTTCTTTTCATTTTTTTTTTATTTCAGCATGTATCTTCAAGCTAGCTCTCTAGTTTTCTTCAATTGTTTTCCTTCTCGAGCAAACCGCTAAATTTGATCACTTTCTCTTCTAATTCTTTCATATTAATAATCATGACCATTGATCTTGGAGATTAATAGCCATGACCAACAAAGTAAAGAGTCTGGGAAAAAATACGAGGGCTTCTTCAACCTTAAAATTGTGGAAGCAGAGAATTCGAGATTTCTACAATTACTAGTGTCAATTATATCATAAAATATACGTATTAATATAATAAATATAAATGCTAAGATAATAAATATAAACAGTAAAACAA